GTGTTGGAGCAGGGAAAACATAAAACCTGTAGGGCTGCGGCCCTCAAGGACCAGGATTGCCCACCCCTGGGCTGAAAAACACAAGAAACAGTTTGACCCAAAGGAACCACATGGAAACTCCTTCCTGCTGAGTCAGCGTTCACACWGTTGTTTACAATCTAACTGCAGCCATCAGATCTAGAAACTTAGCTCATTCAGCAAACGTGGGCGAGGGTTTTTGGTTTGTGTCGTTTCTACGTTTTAGTCATTTTTCTCATATTAATCCAACAGAAATACATGATTTATCTGTAACACCATCAAACATTGTTCCCATTCAAATCTGATTCAGCACGCCTGATCTGATTTTATTACCTACTGTAGCTTTAAGCTACAGCTCGGCTACTTATAGCCTTTCACAGAAGAAGTCCTGTCAGTGGTTACCTCCTGGAATCCCATCTCAAACAGACACTCCACGGCACCTTTAATGGGCAGCAGCTTGGTGGAGAAGGTGGGGTTACCGATCCGGATTGAACGGTACTTCTCTTCATTTGGGTTCCTGTTGATCACAACACAAAACGCAACAAATCTGAAAACATTTGGATTCTGTTTGTTAAATCAGACCTGCAGACATATTTGTTGGTCCTCTTCAAGAATAAAAACCTGAAACTGTCAGACGTTTAATAACTTCTCCTGGATTAAGATCCGATTCATAAAGCTCCGTGTTCGTTCTCAGCTGTTCTTGATGCTGTTAGCTGTGTTTTAGCTCATTATCCTGTTGAAGAACTCGTGACGGTAGAAATTTACCCTCTACCATCCTGTTGTCATTACGTCATCGGACCTGTGGCAACAGGGCTGCAGGTGCAGAGACAACTGAGCAGGAGTTCGAACTATAATGAAGAAATTCTAGTGTTTTAAAACACGTATACAGACAATATATCCTAAAAATTTCCTCCTCCCGCTGTAGAAAAGTTACGTCGTGTGGCGGGATCAATCGTCGCGTGGAGCGAAGCTTTAACAACTCTAGTTTTTCACATCAAATTGTCAGAGAAAAAAACTTGTTTTTTAAAGTATTCTCACAGAGATGATTAAAAAAAGACGTGGACGTTCGCTCAGTCATCCATCTTGCTAATGTAAAGTCTGCTTCTGCTCCGATGATGAAGATGATGAAGATGAGCGCGCAGCAGAGCAGCAGCTGATAAGTTCAGCAGGCAGAAGATCATTGTTTGGCAGATATTAAAGCAAAAATGCTGGGTTTAAGATTACAGTTCTCTGCAGAAAAATACTCTAAAGGTTACATTATCTTTACTTTTTATAATTTTCTACCGCGATATACCGTTACCATTAGGGGTGTAGGAAAATATTGATACACTGAAATATCGCGATATTTCA